TGAAAACAAGTCACTGTTTGGTGACAGACACCCTGAGGACAGGAATTAGGTCTCATTAATCTTTACTTACCATAATTCCTAGCAAAGTATTCTACATAGATGCTATTTCTATAAAGACTGCTGTATGATGATACCCAGTGGTTCAATGAGAATCTGATCCACAGCCTTCTGTCATACATCAAAAAGAACACCCTCTCGGTACATGAGTATCCCACTTAAACTACCAATCTAGCACTGGCGTATTCATACTCCACTGCATCCTTCTACCACCTAGGATCCTTTACAGTTACTCGTCCTTAACACTTCCACTCTCTTAGAGGGCTAGCTACACTGTAGACTTTTAATAACATGGCTATTTTCCCAAGAGCTTCAAGGATGGGCTCCAAACAGAAAACTACACATGGTCAGTTATAATGTATATCATGTGTGAGGTCAGCCCCTCAAATCAGCATTTTCAAGATTTAGGTTTGTGGGGCTGGAGAGATGGCTCAGTGCTTATAAGCACTGGCTGCATCAAATTCCCAGCATCTACAAGGTGACTAACAACCTTCTGTAACTCCAGTTCTAGGGGAATCCAATGCCCTCTTCTGACCTCAGCAGGCATTGCATGACATGGGTGCACTTACATACATGCAGGCAATACACTCATACACATAAAATAAAAAGAATTTTTTAAAGTTTTAAAAGAATTCAGGTTTGAGCATGAGAGATTTTGTGTCTTTTTTGTCTGTTTCTGAAAATTAAGTGGAATATGTTACAAACAAATATCAAATAGTCATTACCTGTAAACAGATTCCTATCTATTCTTAAACATTTTCCTTCTATGCTACAGAAAGTTTTGCTACATACACATATTTAGCACATGTGAAAATGTACTACATACACTTTCATGAAGTCTATGATATTCTGAGGAAGAAAGATTCCTCAAGGAGTAAGGAGAAACCAAGAGCAAAATCACAGTAAGGCCTATCTTATTTATGCAGAGGACTTCTAATTCCTCCTCACCCCCAACCCAGCCTGAAATTTTTGCTTTAAAGTTATCTGAGTCAATAGCAACCAGTTAGAGAAAGTGTAAAAGGCCTTGGTTTAGCTCTCCTGAGTCACTTACAGATTAAGGTGAATTAGTTCCACTAGACTGTTTCTCTGTTAAGATCTAAATGAGGTCTGCTGCACCAACAAAAGAAACTGCAAATCTGAAGAGATTACTGGTAAAGCCCCTTAGGTATCACTGAGTTTAGAAGTGATAGGCTGGAAAGTAGAGGCCTGAGGGAAGGATGCAGTTGATATACTGAAGGTTGTAAGAGCCAGAGGGCCAGGACACCTGCTGCTAGATAGTATCTTCAGACAAGACAGGGAAGCTGCACCCATGAAATTTCAATAATACAAGTGACTAAACAAAACCTAAATAATGGCAGCCCAGGTTAGCATGCCAACATGGTTGGGGATGTTTCACAGGGTCTCACCTCTACATGAAGAGCTACTGGCAATCAATGGCTGCTGAGAGAGGAAGAATTAGTTTTCTCCAGTGTTGAGCCTCCTCATAGGTTATCTAATCCCAAGTGGTCAGCCCTAAGCTCATGTACATATTAGCACCACTAAATGGACTCAGTAGGTGTGTGTGTTTGTATGAAAACAGAAATTGAGAGGGAATGGGGGGAGGAACTGGGAAAAGTGGGAGGGCGGAGGGAGAGGTACAAATACAATACTCATATATGAAATTCTCAAAAATTAAAAATTTAAAATATAAAATAAAAAAGGTTGAAGATGAAGTCAGAATTTGATATAAGAAAGGATGAGCCTGTAGGAAACGAATTTTTCTCACTTCTAGTCCTAGACCTCTGAGCTCAAAGCTAAAAAATGGACTAAATGTGGTTCAGTTACATTTCATGGGTTATTTAAGATTGCAGAGTTCACCTGGATACTTATTAACTCCTATGTATGTTTCAAGTTCCAAAAGATTTACTTAGGCACTCTTATTAGGAAGCATGGAGTGGTGTATTTCTTCATTTGTTTTGGGGGTAGTTTTTTGTGCTGGGGACTGAACGGGCCTAAAGCACGTTGTGCACACATACCACCACTGAGTTACACTCCCAGACCAACAGTGATGTATCTTAAGTCTGGACAATTTCAGGTTTTATTGCCCTCAGAGTTACGAATTTGACCTTTGGCTTATAATGAATTAATGCTAATTTGGGGTACTTAAAAGTTCTCCCCTGTGGATTCTTTCTTCAATTCTGAAACTGTAGACTTTTTTTTTTGAGAGATGCCTTTAAAATTTAATCTAAATAATGAATGCGTAAGTTTAAATGCATTCATTAAAATTAGAAAAAGGTAAATCAGATTTACTTGGCTATTAAACAATAAGTATACATTAATAGCAACAGACAAATACCAGCATTACACATAATAGCTGGAAATTCTTCAGTCAGCCAACAGGAAAGTCAATGTACAAGCATTAGGGGCATTCTAAGTAGAGTCTGTAGGCAATGGATTTATATACATAAATTTGATTATCTTTTCAGAAGTTCTTTAAAAATTATTAACATATCATGCAAATTAGCATTCAGCCTCCTAAATACAATGTATTGAGAAGTGACAAATTATTTGAAAGCTTAATGATATGTTTTAGCTTTAAGAATTCTCAAGATGAGGATTAATGCTTTTTTCCCCAGCATCAACTTCTCAAATTTCCCATTTGTTCCATTATTAAGTTTAAGAGAGCATATTCTACTATTGTATGAGTTATTGAACATGTCAGATCAAAAGGGAAATTTGCATTTAACAGGATAACCATACTATTCTTTCTACTCTTCAAATGATGAGAGCAGCAGGTAAGAGCAAGTCCCAAGCAAAAGAGTTAGCAACCTTCAATTATGCTCAACTGGGCATTACTTATTCTGTAATATAGTAAACTCCACAAAGAAATATGCACAGACGAAATGATTAGACATTACATGATTAAACTGTTCATAAAAGTCTCTTCCATCAAAGTAACCCCAATATATGATGGTCCTGTGGGACTCAGAACGTAGCTTTAGATCATTATGAAAAATGAAACAACAAAAAAACAGGTTTATTCTAATGGAACAGACAAGGCCTAACATTAAGATAGAATCTAAGTCTCCAGACACAAAAATCTGACATACTTGTTTCCATCCAATCATCTTTAACTCTAAAATCTAAAGTTCATAAACAAATTCTTCAAAGATCTGCCCCATTTTATAATTTCTTCTTTCAAAACATCTACAATGCAAATCCCCCCAAATTTTAATAAACCAGTATGTACTTAAAGTTTAAAAGAAAGTATTTTAGCTGTCTAAATAAGAGAGGAAAACAAGCCTAGATTTTCCTATAGGGTAGTGGTTATTCACCAGTAACACAAATAGAAAACTAGCTTAGCTGAGATTATGCAATTACATTCATTCCCAAATAAGAAAATATTAGCTATGACTTACTTATTAGACATAAAGGCTCACTAAAATTTCTTTGTATCCGCTATAGCAATCCTATGAATTTGTCATCTGAATTACATTGACAAGAGCCAGAATGAAACAAAAATCTCCAGTGTCTCAATATTTTTCTTGTTGTTCTTACTGTCACATATAACAGACTAACAGAGGCAGGAAATACAAAGTATTTCCAATGGTGGAATTGCAAAACATGATACAAGTTTAAAAAAAAAAAATCTCCCTAAGGTTCCTTGAAATTATTTTCTTTCAAGACCTAATGTTCCAACATCTAAACCCCAAAACAGGGATAAAGAGGGCCGACTTTGCCAGTCATCTACAAGTTCTCAATAGCTTCCTTAGTTGCTTTTTAAGCTTAACGAAAGAACAGAATTAGATGTCTGGAATGATGCAAAGGTTGGGGAGAGGGAACACCCTTGAAACTAAGTCACTTTTACTGGCACTTATATTGGATCCGAAGCCAGCTCTTTCAATCTTCAGGAAGACAGTCTCCTGCCAAACAGAGACTCGACATCCTATGCATCCTCTCCCAATATTTCTTCTTAAGACCCGAGGATGAATTATAAATGTCATAACTGGGTATGTTCCACAAAGGAAGAAATTTTTAAAAGTGAAAATCTAAAAAGGTTAATTCACTGCCATGTACAAGACAGCGAAGCAATTCGTATGTGACTAATCTATTTTAAATTCATTCCTGTGCTCCTATGCAATCTAATATTACCGATTAAAACTGCCAAAATATTTTTTAAACGAGATCTGAAACTATCCTTGTGAGCTTCTGATCTTTGCACTCCTTAAAGTTGGCAGACACGTCACTAGCAAACCCATCGGCCGTGACAAGTTACTCCGAATCAGCGCTTTCGGATCAAACTGTAAATTAAGAGCCATTCCAAAATTTCACAAGCTCTCCAAGATCAGGGAACGAGGGTATGATTCTTTCCCATCACCCGCTGCAAAACTTGCACAATCTACAAATGCAAATTCCAATTCAACCATCCAAGCGCCTGTCTTTTCAGATCTCGTCAATCCGGCAACTGCAGATCACAAAAATTTGATCGCATTCAATGTCTATCCTCATAAGGTCACACACCTCTGCCTCCAAAGCGTCTACGTACATGTGTCTGCACATTCCTCACTCAGCCTCAGAGGCACAATGAGTCTCTCGCTCGCCTGCACCTCGGTGCCAAGTTTCTGAAAGCCACTTCCAAGCAAAACTCTCCTTCCGCTTTTAAAACAGAAAACTACAGTAAGATGAGGACACCCGGGGAGAAAAGGACGGTAAGTGCAGCACTTTGAGAAAGTCATCAAACACAAAGCCCGACCCGGGCTGAGGCGGCTCCTCTCCGACCCGCAAGCTCTCGCGCCGCGCCTCCGCCCAAGCGCGCAGCCCGCCGACCCCGGCCCGTAAGCGCGCGGCTTCGCGTCCGGCCCAGGCCGCGTTCCCGCCCCGCAGCTCCTGCCGTCGCCCACTCGAGTCCAAAGCCGCGTGTGGATATCGAGCCGCAGCCCCGCGCCCGCCCGCCCGATACGTACTCGGCCGCGGCTGCAGCGGCCCGGCGCGCTCGGAGGACGGCTCAG